CCGCCTTTGTTCTGCAGTATTAACACCTCTACTCTCCTGCTTTGTTGCAACATCCCACCCCCCCTTTTGTTTAGCATCAATAACACCTCTTTAACCCACCACCCCCTGTCCTCTACCCCATTGTCTCCTTTGTCTTCCTTGCCCTACCTCCCCCCTCTCTGTTAGCCCTTAAAAGCCTCTCCCTCTCGACATGTCCCAGGTCTGATGAAGGGTCATGGACCTGAAATGTTGACTCACTTCCTTTCTCCATAGATGCTGCCTGACCTGCTGAGTGTTCCCATATAAATGAGATATTGTCTTCTCTTTCCTAGAACCCCAAGGTTACTGAACTTCTTCATTCCTTTTCTGTGGAAAAACTACAAATGTTCGCCTACAAAATACAGTCACTGCACTTCACAATAAATCCTGTGCAGTGCTTTGAGATGTCTTCTGGTTGTGAAAAAAATATTATTATTAGAAATGAGAACTTCAGCTAAACACTTCTTGACTTCACTTTGTGAACCACCGCATTTTCTCAGTGACTAATTTCATACCGCACTTTGACCTTTGTTTCATGATATCTTTCATGATGGACCTTTTGACCTTCACTTAGCCCTGAGACTTATCTTCCATGAAGGGCATTGTATAAATGCAAGTTACTGTTGTTTGGGTCTCAAAACAGTGGAGTTTTGTCATTTTAAGTAATGTAGTTTTATACAAAGTATGGATGAAATGTCTACACTTCGTATAAATGTTTTGTAGTGTCTTTGGTGTGAACATTATTGCCTTGAAGAAGTTATGAAATGCTTCTAATTTCAAGCTTATTTTTATTGTCTAACAATAATATAGTAAGGCTTTTGCATCATCCCGATACTGGGTACGCTTATGCGGACTGATGGGTTGCATTTCTCCCCTGGGCTCACTCTTTTGTGTTCAGCGTGGACAGCTAGTCTGCAGTTTCAAGCCATTTTAGGCCATAATCTGTAAGGAGATGGGCTATTAAAAGAAAAGGCTGTCCAAGCAGCTCCAGTACAGCTGTTTAACATTCCTGAAGGCGGGTGCTGTCAACAGCAGCGTGCACAGCACACTCAACAGAGCAGCCCATTTTGGGAATGTTAAGAACCTGCTTCTCTCATTGTATTTACATTTCAAGATCCTAACTTTAACTTTTGCTGCAATTGTTGCAAAGATTTGCTGCAATTGTTGCAAAGATTTGCTGAAAGTATTTTAAACACAACTCTTTTATATGGAAGCATTGTACGGACTCTCTTCGAAAGTATGTTGGGGGCTCAAAATGTACCATGACAGTTATCACTTTGTCTAAACTTACTGTCAATCTAATTAATCATTGAAGGACTTAACCCCCTACCACTTTCGGAAGGTTGAGCCAGCCCAAACATTTCACCGTTTTACGGAGTGCAGCATTTGAGTGCCAGTTTCATGGGATACAGTTTTACGATGTAATACCTTGAGATGAAGCCAGTGGCCACTGCAATGCCACACAGACTTTGTGTTTAATTATCAACTGATAGGTTTGACTACAATTTTCGACAAAGTGATCATATTGCAAGTCGCAACTTTCACCCTATAAGGGGTGAAACTGTGGTGCGTGACATTAACACTGACGATCATTATCACATTGACGAAAAAGTGTATGAAGTCAATATCTGCAGTTATCTTTGGGTCGGTGGGTGGATGCAGGGGTTGGGGGGGGAGGGTATATAGGGCACTGAAGATGTCCTCTTGACACGAGCTATATCAAATGCAGATGCAAAGATTATTATTTTATTATTCAGACACTTCATTCAGCTTGCAAACATATGCATTGATTACCCTTGTAGTCTGTCACATGTAATCCTCTGGTAATAAAAATGAATGGGCTATTCAACTCAAATGGAGCTCCTGATTATTCATGAGTTTCTATAGCACGAGGCTGTCACTAGAAACTGCCTTTAATTTGGATATAATTTAGAAAAAGCCTTATGAAGTCTCCGAGTGACAAAAGATTTGTAGTCTTAAGCATTGTCCCATGGGATCAGATTGCAGCGCCCCACATCCTCTGATTCTTAAAGTAACCGATTCCTGCTGTCGATGTACTCCTCTCTGAGGGGCAGCATTCAAGCAGCTTTTTTTTGGTATAGATGAGTATGATTGCTTGCTGCTGTGCTTTAGAAACACTGGGTTTCAAGCTTTGAATGAGCAATCGCTTGCCTTTCCACCATCTCCATTGAAAAAAAATGAACGTGTTGGCATGTATGGAGGGAGGGGGTAGAGGGGTTGTTGAAATTAGGGGAAAGGCGTTAGTGGAGTGAGTGTTGGGGGGGTGAGGGAGGTGAGGAAGCTGGTGGCTTGGGGGTAGGAGTGTCACAAGAGAACCGAAGTGTAGCCAGAAATTGGGGGACATTCAGTGTTGGGGACCGGGTCAGTTTCTTTTCGCATTTCTGTTCTCTTCAGCTGGTCGTCATTGCTGATAATCTCCCTCCCATTTGGTTATTGCTTCTTTATGTGAAGCGCTCTTAGACGTTACCCCACGTGAAGGGCGTTATGTAAATGCAAGTTATTGTTGTGTACTCCATACCACTCATCTCCCTTTGCCAGTTATTACTCCTCAGTTATTTTTGCTCTCATCCTTACCTGGTCTGAGCATTGTTGATTACCAGATTCAGAAGGCAGCTTCCAGTGGATCTGGAGGGAGTGGGGGGGTAATCCATGTTCTCAACTACACGCAAATATTGAACATGGAGCTTAATACTGTGCGCAGCACTCACAATATTTTGCTTAGGAGTGGACACCTCAACCAATTGGGGGTTGAGTAGGCCAGCCCAAGTAGCTTTGACTGCTGGAAGTTAGTGTACTGGCCAACAATCCCCCAAATAAAAATTGGTCACTCACTCCACGACTGTTTTGTGGAACATTCATGTGCGTAAATTGGCTACTGTATTCTGCCCACTAAATGCACGCAGTCATAGCACTTTAAATCTTGCACTTCCCATCCCACTATTGGTGGTCGGGCATTCAGTATCTCTGCCCCCACACACTGGAACACTATCCCGCAATCCCTCCGCCCCACCCCCCCTCCTCTCTTGCCTCCTTCAAGTCCCGTCTAAAGACCTTCCTCTTCGGCCACCAGCCCTCCACCCCGCCTGAGCCAACTCCCAGGTCGGGTCCAAAAACCCTAACTGCCCAGCGCCCTGGGACATCTTTCCGATGTGAAGGGCGCTGTACAAGTGTAATTTGTTGTTCACAGTAAATCCTGTGAAGTACTTTGAGACGCAATGAGATGCAGCATCACACACAAGGATTATAATAATAATCCCTGCATTTGATACAGCGCTTTTCACGTCTTCTCGATGTGTCAAAGCGCTTCACAGAATGGACTGTAATGTGAATTGACTGCATATTTGTGGGCGAAATTATTATTATATTAAGAATTTTAGCCATTTAGCCAGTGAACTTTGATCCAAAATAGGAAAGTCTACTCTGTGGAACGTCGAGCGCAGAGCTGTGAGGTGGTCTGGTTTCTGGCCAATGAGCCACAAAGGTGAGATCTTTGGACTGTGAAGGTTTCTGCTTTGATTCCAGAAGTAGTGCTCCATCTAGTGGTCTAACCAAGAATTTGGGGTGGGGGTGGGAGAAATCATCTGTTGTGATTAATCAAGTCAGTGATAGACTGGGAGCGCACGTCAGACCCTTGAGCTGTGATTCCAATGGTTTGATGTAACTGTCGTACAACAGGACTGGTTGGAAAGTTGGGCTCAACAGTACCGAACAGGTCATTTCCTTATATGGTGCTTTGCCTGCCTGCCTTCAGATGGCAGTTGACTGCTGCATTTGACCACAGAATCAGTCACGAAGCATGATAGAAATTACTCTCGAAGCACTTTGAGATGTTTTATGGGATGAGGAGCTGTGTAAAGTTGGTTCTTTTGATTGAAGAGACATCACATCTCTGTTGCAATGATGGCTGAATGATCAGTTGTTAAAATGTTCAACTGTGTTTTATGTTTTGGTTGAAAATTTCTTAACAATATGCGTGATGAATACAATGCAGCCGAAGTTGCTTTTGAGATGTTTCAACCGCAAACATATTAGCATCTCAGTACTTTTCCTATCGTAAATGGAGGAGGTTAATTTGCCGCATTTGAAAAACGATTTAATCCCATTGTATCTGTTCTGAAATAGTGTCATTTCCATCAGTAATTCTCTGCAGCTTTCAGCTCCAAACATCTCTGCAGCTTTTACCCATTGGTTTGATTCATAGAAGCTTTTAAAAAGTATTTTGGCTGCCATCATTGTTTGGGGTGAAAGAGGATGATGTACACATTTTTATTCAATTGGAGATGACATTTGAGTTGATCGGTATCTTATTTCCGGATCAAACATGCAATTCGAAACCTGGAGAATTTTGGATTGCAGGTTACAGATGCATTGTTTAAATCCATTACAAAATTTTGCAAATTTCATCCTGCAAGTGTATTCTTGTAGTACCTAGACAAATTGTGATTTTTTTTTCTTAATATACACTTGAATTTTGAATCAAATCTTATGCTTGTTTGTAATGTGTTATGTATGTTATTGCAAAGTGTAGACCTACACTTTACAACAAATCTTACATTCCCCCTTCTCCCTGCTCAGCATCCAGCACTGCCATCGTGCAGCACTCCGAGATGCTATTCTGCGTGAAAGGTGCTAGATAAATGCAAGTTGTTGTTGGTGACAGACACTATATCAAATGTAAGGATTATTATTAAGTTATTAAACAAAATATGCTGAGCAATTTGGGGAAAAAAAGCTGCTGGAATTTCCATTGATCTGTTGTGCGTGGCTGTGAGAAACAACATAGTTACAGACAAGTTGCTGCGAAACCCGCCATTAAATGTCCATGAAGTCTGTGCAGTATGAACTGTGAGTTTCTGTCTTACCTGACACAAGACTCTTCGAGGTTCATGCACGGGCTTGAGTGCAAATTAATGCTCTAAGATTACACCTCCGCAAGAATTCCCCAAGATGCACAACTAGAGTTTCGACAAAAGCCATTTATTATATGTTGTTCTCTTTGAGCGTTACAATGAATAAAATGCACACGATTCGTTCTGAGCTTTAGCAAGTGACAGCGCAGTACATTGGGAAAATGGGGTTGTCGGCTGCCTGGAGTCAGAGTTGGACGATCACAAGATCTTGATGCTTCGTGTCAAGGATTCCTAACTTTTACCGTTTGCTAAGCCTTTGTATAGGCTCAGTGCAGGAAGGTTTCAGCTAGCTATCTATCTCATATATTTAGGGGTTATTTACCTAAGTTTAAAACCAGTTTCTTTCTTAGCTTGGGGGTTTATTTTCCTAAGAATTGTCTCAATAAGTACTTTGTTCTTCTAAGTACAGTATTTGTCTCTTTAAGTGGGCATAGTTTCCTGTTTTTCAAGCTGATGCCTTCAATTTGTGCCTTTCAGCCTGTTACCTTGCCTCTTTATCAATGTGGTTGGTTTCCGAAATGACTAGCAGGTTTCCTGACGCTTGGCCATCAATTTCTACTCATCTACTCTAGGTTCAAACATGGTCAGGTGGTCTACCATCCCTGCCAGATATGGTTTCGCATTTGACAGTTGTTGGGGCGCTGGTTGTTGAATGTCTGGGTTTAATGATTGATGCACTGTTGAACCCACTTTAGCCGGATGCTGGTTAACCTCAGACCCTGGTTAAATTGGACAAAACGCTCCTGCTCCGATTCATTTGGATTCTTACCAGTTTTGCATATGCCGGTTAATTTGTACAAAAATCCAGTTAATCCAGAGAAAATACCGCTGTTGAATGTACTTCTGTGTCTCGAGGGACTCCATTCAGCCATGAGCAGCTCCAGGAATGGAGATGGGAGAAGTCAAGTTGCGATTGATTGACAGCGGACTCCAGCCATTCACAAGCGGCTGGAGTTGGGCTGTCAATCAGTGAGTGGGAGGAGGAAAGGGAAGCAAACAAGGGAGGGAATGGGTGGAGTCAAATCACGATTGATTGACAACTGGAGCCACTTGTGAATGGGTGGAGCCCATCTATTCACAAGCAGCTTCAAGGCTGACAATCACCTCGGAGCTGCTGGTAATTGGTCCCTTTCCTGTCCAATGGGAACAGCAGTGGGAGGGGGGGGCGGGGGGCGCTCCTCTGCTGGGCGGGAAGAGGTAATGGAACTTCGGCTAACCTCAGAGGCCACTTAAACCGGACAAAACGGCCAGCCCGACGTGTCCGGTTTAACCGGCTTCCTCTATATTTTACTTTTTAAAACGGGAATAATCTCATTCATCTCAAAAATATGCCTTTGATAATGTTTGTTCACTTATTATTGGGAGATCAACTACAAAAATCCCTCCAAAAAAACAAAAGATTACATTTGTATAGCACCTTTCACAATGGGAGGACATCCCAAGGTGGAGCCTGGATGTTATGAATGAATGCATATATGTCTCGGCGGTCTGCAGTGTGACACAGTGGTGGAGCCGGCGATGTTACTGAGGGGGGAAAGGAGCAGCGGGTCATGGCACAGATGTGAGGTATGTAGGACACTTGAGGGTTGAACAGGATGCTGAGGTTCCGTATTGGCTCCGTGAGATGTACAGTGCATCCATTTTTTTGCGCACAAAGGTCAGATACTGCAGGAGCATAGTCCTTGTCCAAGTATATTTTTTTCTTGTCTCTCCATCTCGAGGAGGTCTATAGTGTTGCGATATGGATGTATCTTCATCATTTGCTTGATTTGAGCCATATTATATGGTGTTTTGTCCCCGAATGCCTTGTTGAATCTCGTATGATTTATCAGTTTCCAAGGAAATTTATCGTTAATCACCGTCTTGATTTCCTTTCCTTTTCCATCAGTCGGAGAGGAACACTTCTAGCTCTCCCCAGTAGATTCAGAAAGGAAATTATTTAATCTCGGAACCTTTTACTACTACCTGAAGCTGCATCAATGCTTTCCTCTACAACCTTGTGGAACATAACTGTTTTGGGGTTCAGTATTTTCACAATAGGGGTTGGCTCATGAAACTTGTTTTGCATAACTTTGGTTGTTTAGTGCCCACCTTCCATTGTACTAAATCCCCCTATTGACACTCATAGGGGATAATTGTCTATTACTCTGCTTCATCTAACTCCTTGATTATGTCTTGGGTTATTTTACAAATTCCCTCTCTAACCTCATGTATCGATAGCCCTTGATTGCAGTTCAAAGGGATTTTCATACTTCCACCAGTGAATATTTGGAATGAGCAACATCCTATCTTTTCACAAATTCTATTGTTAATTCCCATAAAGATCCAAAGTAACATTTCATCCCATCTTTTGTGCATATTTAGACATGCTTGACTTAGAGCATTTTTAATTATCTCTACAGTCCTTCAAATCTGTAGGTGGTGGGGCATATGTGAATTTCTATTTTTATACCCAGTAACCTTACAACCTCTTCAGTCATTTCTTCTATAAAGTGCCAGCCTCTGTCAAGTGTGTTCATCAAGCCATATCCTGGTAATACTCTTGTCAGTTAAACAGCAGATTTACCCCTCTTCACAGCATATGCAAGAACAAACCCTGGTGTATGGTCTACTATCACCAGCAGGAATTGATTATTACTGCGAGTCCTTGAGAGCGGTCCTACAATGTCTATTTACATTTTGTTCCATCTTCTTTTTCGTCTGTCTATTCATTCTCTTGTTCTTCCTCAATCTCAAATCTGCTTAGCTCATTTTCTTCTATTCCATTTCTAAGTTCAAAACTTATTCGTTGGTCATACAATAGAGATTCCCATTTTTTCCATCGACATTTTAACGCTTTATGATTTCTTTGGCTTTCCCGGGTTACACCAGCTAATTCAGGATAACTTGTCCTTACAGTTATTTTTTCTTTACTGGTTACCATCTGACAGGTTTGTTTCAGAGTGCAAAATAAGGTAGCTAGCAGCCTTTCATCTTTAGCAAACTTTTTCTCTGCTTTTGAGAAATTAAAGCTAAGGTATTTAAGTGTCTCTTCTCCAGTAACAGACTTTTGTTTTACTGCAGTAACGCTCGAATCTTTGCTTACGTAAATGTCCAATATCAAACTGCTTTTCGGTTTCCTAGTGCTGTGGGGTACAGCCTTTTGAATGTCCTGCTGTAATTGGTTTAAGCATTCTTGCGCATTTGTGTCCCATTGGAACGGTTCTTTATTTGTTAATTTGAACAATGACGCAGCTTTGCCAGCATAATTTATAACGAATTCTCGGGCAAAATTAAATTTTCCCAGTACAGATTGTAACTCTTTTCTGGTCTTGGGTGGCTTTACCTGGCTGACTTCCTCTTTAAATTTTCTTGACAGTCTGTCCTCAGTCTCACTAATCTGGTGTCCTAAAAAATCTACCGCATATCTTCCAATTTGACTCTTTCTCAGATCTATTTTGAGCCCATGGTTATCCAACTTCTCCAATATCTGTTTTAGAAGCTTAATATGACTTTCAGCATTGTCATTGGAGAAATGTATAACCCCCCCAAAACGCGTTATTTTTGGATTGTCGTCCAGAACCCTACGAATCGCCTCATTAAAAATAACTGTGCTGTTACACCATCCCTCTGGCAGCCTGGTCCATTGATATTGCTGACCCTGATAGGTAAATGCTGTCTTAAACTGGTCCTTCTCAACTATAGGAATAGACCAGAATCCGTTTGCGATGTTTAGCGTAGTGTGGTATTTTTCCCTTGTTAATTTCTCTATGCTCCCGTGTGAGGAAATGGACTGTCCTTGTTTAGGATTTGTACATTCATTTAGTGCTTTGCAATCTAACAGTAGTCTCCAAGAACCATCAGGCTTCTTTTTCAGGAAAATTGGGGAGTTTGTAGGTGACCGGCATTTCTTGATCACCCCTTGTTCCATTAAATTGTTTATTATCTTCCCAATTGTCTCTTTATCCTCCCGTCGTATTTTATACTGTCTTTGTTTGTGGTGAAGTTTTCCTCTTATCTCTGCATTAGACTTTACCTTACCACAATCTGTTAGGGATTTCGCTAGAATTTCTCTTTTATTTAACAATAATTCTCTCAATTTATCTTTATTAATATTAGTTTTGTCTATTTGATTCTGTATAAGCTTTTCAATATCAAACTCAAAAGCACTTTGACTGATCATTCTGGGACCCCGGGCGAATCTTGTCTTTCATCTCACTGTGCCTCAACACCTTGAACTCATAATCTTTATCTGACGTCCTGTAGAGTATTGGTTCAACCACTTATCACAAGTGATAGGATCTGGGTTTGATTCCTGGGTGGGGCGAAACCAAAGGCAAGTTTCCTTACTCCACACGTCTCTGTTTACCGAGCAGAATGTAGGAACCCAGTTGTTTGTTGATTGGCGGATGGCTTTCCGGGGGTAATAATTCCTTAAAAACAAAATAATAATAGTTTGGTCACTCAATCCAGGATGGTTGGTGGGACACTGTTATGCACAATTGGCTGCTGCATTTCATCCATAAAATCAGTATATTCTGTGAAGCGCTTTGAGATATCTAAACAATGTGATAAGCCGCAATATCAAATGCAAGGATTATTCTTACAGTAGAAACACGGTTTACGGTCACTTCAGAAATCCAGCCATCTCACCATTGTGGGCACATTTTCACAGTCTCTTTCATTGTCTATGTTAAAAGATAGGCTGTCTGCTTCAGTAAACTGGGCACCTCACTATTCAGGACAACAGTCATTGATCGCGGCTGCTACAGGGCCCTCCTCTGCTTCAAACACGGTACAAATACCCCCCTTGCTACTAACCTGTACACGCAGTGTGCTAGGCCTCGGGCTTCTTGGGCTGTTTGCTCGACGCTAATACTGTGGGCAGAGTGGGCTCCAGTCGCGCTGCACGGTTTGGGGAGGATTGGGATCGCAAATTGACTTTGCCTGTGGTCTAACCTGAACTCCTGCTACCAATTCTCGGTAAGTGCTGTATTCAGAGCGTGTGGTTTGTGTGTACATTGTTTGTTTTGATTTAGTGACTGTTGACAAGTGTTGTAAACTTGCCACCACGGAAAGAATTGTGAGTGAGTGAGAGAGTGGATCTAATGAAAAGCAGTAAGGGCAGAAGTCATAGATAGTTAACTGTGATCTGTGGCATTGGCAGAGCACAACTATAACTTCTTACTCTCATCCTGTAATCTCCCATTAAAATTTTGCAGTTCTACAAACAAACTTTCCTTAGTAATCATCATATTCCTGAAAGACTCATTCTCCTGTTCTAATCTTTCAGTTTCTCATTTTGCATTTACTAATTGACTCTGGGACCTGTCTATTTGCCATCGTCAGGGCCTGATTACCTTTTGCATTTTCCAGTACCATATTGTTCTTTCTGCCTCTTCGTTTAATTGTGTAATTTGGGATTCCAGTTCTTCCATCTTTGTCTCGTTCTGTGTTTGATTATTATTGTTAGTTTTGTATTCTTCTAACGGTACTGTATTATCTTCCTTCAATCGACCTAATAAGTTGATTAGGTTTCTTATCAAGATCGCCTTCTGTGTATTTTTTTAATGCCCGATTGACAGCAGTCATTAAAACGTATGGTTGATTTATATCACTCATGATCAGGGCCAATAGAAAATTGCAGAAATATTTGCCAAAAATTACAGTGAATATTTTGTGGGGAATTGCAGGGTGTTATTGAGAGGCACATTTTAAACTTATCCGCCTGCACTCTACGGTTACTCTGAGCTCTGAGCTAACTGCCCCTCCCTCCACACTGGCTGCTTTCCGACCATGGCTTCAGCCGCCCTCCTACCTCTCTGCCCTCCCTCATCCCAACCGTATCCCCGCCCCCACGCTCGTTCAGTGCCTCGGGACGTCCTCCCGACTTGAAAGGCGCTTTACAAATGTAATTTTGTTGTTGCTTGCTGACACACACACAGTCAAACGCATTAATGGCGGTGGGCTGCAGCTCCCGCCATATCTCCTTGGCAACCACCGCGGCCTCCTGCCCAAGCTCCCACCCACCTCCGCGCCGCCCATTAGCCTCTTTTGCTCCAAGCGCAGCCCGCCATTGGATGACGGTGACGCCGGTCAAGATCGCTCACCTGCCGTTGTGGGTTGGCAGTAAAATAGTTTGGTGCTGTTGAGTAACCTCTATAGCACCAACCCAAACCCCGCAATTTTCCACAAAAGTTTCAAATTTCCTCACAATTTTACCCCCCGCAGTTTCCACACTTTTCTGTGGTTTGTGAGCTCCAGGCCAGACCACGGTGTGTGAGCGCCTCCATCGATTTTTATTGGTCAAGAGCGACAACATCGTCCGTCCCTGAGGCAAGCGAACAGTCTGCTCTGGCCTGGAGCTCGGCCCACTCGCACACCATTGAGATGCGTTTTTACTGCCAATCTCCATTTTTTTCACTTTATTGATAGAAACTAAACATGAGAAAATAACATATATTAGCTTGTTGCAAAATAGAATTATTAGTTGCTTCTTTAACAACAACTGGGTGGCCCATTTTTTTGGGGGTGGGGGGACACCAGCACAGCCCCAAAGGGCCTGGAGATCCGGGAAAATAATTGAGCACCGGTGAGCTGATTGCGGGACAACAGGAGCTCACAACCTCCTGCCTCTCAGAGCCCAACACTACACACAGACAGAGGGAGAGAGACACAGAGAGAGACGCACACTCACAGACACAGAGAAACACACATTCTCAGAGAGAGAGCGAGACACACACACAAACCCATATGCACAAAAAGATAGACACTTACACATTCAAATAGAGACACTCATAAACACGCACACATATAGAAGAGAGACACACAGACACAATCAGAGACGCTCACAAACAGACACGCATACAGAGGAGAGACACATTCATGTAGAGAGAGAGACAAACAGACACACACATAGAAACACTCACAAACACATACAGAGAGAGAGACACACACACACTTACATAGACACTCACAAACATACAGAGAAAGACATACTCACGTAGACACTCACAAACACATGCAACACGCCTGATAATAATCCCTCAAAAAAAAACCAATGATAAATTGGTCACTTCGGTCCACAACTGTTTGTGGGACACTGCTGTGCGCCATTGGCTGCCGAGTTTCACCCACAAATATACAGTCAATTCACTTTACAATCTATTCTGTGAAGCGCTTTGAGACGTCTAGAAGACGTGAAAAGCGCTATATTAAATGCAAGGATTATTATATTATTATTAAGGTTTCACCCTGCTGGGAATTGAACCCAGAACTCTGTTTATAGCGAGCGCTCTAACCACTGAGCTGAAGGACTACCCCATATATACCTCAAATACATCCCAATGTACCAATATATACCCTAAATACACCCCAACATATACCCCAAAAACACTCCAAACATATACACCAAATACACTCCAATATATACCCTAAATACACCCCAATATATGCCCTAAATACATATAGGGTGTATATATATAAACTATATTATATATATTATATATAGTTTATAGCGGATTCCTCTGAAAAATTTTGGCCATACTTTCCTATTGGCCCAGTTCATGGAAAACAATAGTAATACTTTCTCCGTCTCATCTTTTCCAAAGGTCTTGACATTTTTCTACAAACTTATACCATTTGTTCCACCTGTCGCCAGCCTCACTAGGGGTTGTTAACCCTCCTTCCCATTTTAAATTCATCTCATTTTCTGATTCTGCGTCCTCATGTTCAGAAGCAGTCCCCATCATTGATACTTCAATCTCCTCTTCTACCATTTTATTATCACTCTACCAATGCCATTTTATACATTAATCTGGTCATGTAATCATCAGTCCTCTCACATTCTTCTGGCCCACTATCAGTCTAGTACTCTTGTTTCAGTATCACTGTCTTCTTTTAGTCTCACTATTCTCTTATTTTTCTTACCTTGTTTAAACATTTTACCTAAAACAACCTTCAACCCTTTAGATGTTTAAAAGGTTCCAATTCAATGGTTATCTTATTTTGGGCTTCCCCCTGAAAATTATACTATTTCGCCCACAAATATACAGTCTATTCACTTTACATTATAATATTTATTGTTGTACTGAAATGTATTTTCTCATAGTACAGCTATGTTTCTTAATATTACATTCACTGCTTCTCATATTATTAATACGTCTTACGGAGTCTTTTGTCTCATGACTCGAGCCCCAAGTTGGGCACCAAATGTCACAAGACTTTTTGGAGAGAGGAAAATGAGTTAACGTTTCAGGTTGATAACCTTTCGTCGAAAGTTTATCGACCTGAAACGTTAACTAGTTTTCCTCTCTCCACAGATGCTGCCTGACCTGCTGCATGTTCCCAGCGACTTCTGTTTTTATTTCAGATTGCCGGCATTTGCAGTATTTTGCCTTTTGTCACGAGACTCTTTATGGTTCTCGCACAGACTTGAGTGCAAGTTAATGCTCTTACGATTACACCTCCGCAACAATTCCCCAAGATGCACAATCAGTTTCAACAACATACATTTATTATATGCCTTGTTCTCTTTGAGCGTTACAACTAATAAAATGCATACACTTACGATTCGTTCTGAGCAGTACGTCGGGAAAGTGGGGTAGTCTGCTGCCTGGTGTCAGAGTCGGACGATCACAAGATCTCGATGCTCTCTGGACCGTTGTGTCAAGGTTTCCTAGATTTTACTGTTTGCTGAGCATTTTGTATAGGCTCAGTGCAGGAAGTGGTTTCAGCTAGTCATCTATCCCGCATATTTGGGTCTTGTTTACTTAAGTGTAAAATCAGTTTCTTTCTTAGCTTGGCGGTTTATTTACTAAAAATTGTCTCATCAAGTGGTTGGTTATAAGAGTTTGCCTCTTTAAGCGTGACCTAATTTCCTGTTTTTCAAGCTAACGCCTTCAGTTTACGTCTTTCACCCTGTTATCTTGTCTCTTTTTCGATGTGGTTAGTTTCTGACATGACCAGCAGGTTTCCTGTGCTGACTTCTTCCCTGATGTAGTGAGAATGTGAGTGGACCAAAATGCACCAACACTAACTTGTATTTATGTAGCACCCGTCACATGGATAATGACTCAGAATGTTTCACCGGGTAGTTGAGGAAGTTAACAACGGTGGGGAGGGAGGGAGATGTTTATTTTGTTGGTGCTTTATTAGAGTTTGGTAGGAAGACTTGACACTTTCAAATCCTGCCTAAAGACCTTTCTTCTTGATCATGCTTATGGTCACCTCCCACTTCCCTCTCCCCCTGGCTCGGAGTCATACTCCACCACTGTCAAGGGCTCCGGGACACCTTCCTGGGAGAAGGGTGCTATATAAATGCAAGTTGTTATTAAAAGTTTTGGCAGTA